GGGATGCTCCAATCAGGATGTCATGGTGATCGGCCGATACCGATGCCGATACTGATGCTTCAATCTTTATATAGACGTATTAGAAAACAAAACTAAACAAAACAATTTTTTTCAAATTATGCCAAGTTCTAAAATACTTTTTGGGAAGAAATTGTAAGTAAAAAATATTTTTTAATTCATTATCCTTAATCCTTATTCAATAAATCATGAACAACTGTGAAAGTCATTTAGCCCTGTTAACAAATTATTAAAAAATAAATCAAATAAAACAAATTCCCTTTCATTCATCTAAAATAAAGCATGTTTTATCAATAACTATAAACCAACATTTGGTCCCAAACTAGCTAGATGCTGCCGAGTGATAGTTTAATTTAGGCTAAATTTGCAACCCTGTTACAGGCTTTTTATGTACATTTTTTTTTTTTTCTATTTGATTGAAACCCTTTCATTTTGTTGCAAACCTCAGAATATAATGCTCATATAATTAGTTTAACCCCTTAAAAACATTTTCTGAATGTTAAACATCTACTAACACGGAAAAGAAAAAAAAATCAATCATTTTAAGGCCCTACTTTATACTCTTTTCATGGAAAGTCCCACTGAACCTTCATGAACACTACCCCTAAAACCATAATCACTGATTTGTTGCCAACTGGCCTTGATTTCTCCCATGAGCAAAGAAGTAACTAGTTCCTTATGCCTTTTCTTAACATGCGTTAAAGCATCACAAACATCCAAGCAGACATCCCTTGAGCCATTTTACAACTGCACAAACCAAACACTAGTAAACCTGCAGATTTTCTGTGACGTGTCACACTGTCAGACAACAAACGGCAGACTTCACAAACACCACCAGCATCATTAAAAATGCCAAAAATCATTTGCGATTGCTCTCCGACTCCTCCTAAATCTAGCTTAACCTCTAATGTCCACGCAGACAGAAAACATCTGTTCGGCTCTTCGTTTATTCATATGAGATGATATTAGAGCACAAGATCCCAAAAGAAAAAAAAGACACAGCAGCACACCCGCAATTCAATCACACATATCTGTGCAAGGTCAAACGGGCACACCGGAATAAAACAAAAACCAAACCAAAACATGGACCACGGTCATTAGCGAAAGCTAATCTGGTCCAGAGCAAAGAGGGAGGGGGTTTACAAACATGCTGAGCTCACAATCTGTTCTGAGGATAGAGGAGGGCAGCTCTGAGGGGTAGCTAGCAAAAGATCTGGCAGGTTTAGTTAGTGCTGTTTACACTGAGAAGAGATTTGAGGAATAGCTGAACATTCATCCTTGAGGAAGAAAAAGAGACGGTTAGAATCGGAGAGAAATGCTGTGGTTAGTATTCAGGCTTCACCAGGACACAATTTGAACAAACAATGACAACACTCCTGAAGAAGAGAAGAAAACTGGATTTAATTAAAAAAGTTTAACAGGAAAGCAATGTAAAAACTTCAGAAATATACATGTAGTGGTGAAGATCTAACTGTGCTTGATCCTCTGAATCCTATGTTTCATGATTCATAAGATGCCTCTGAGACGCCCCTTGAAGTGGAGTGAAACGCTCACTGTTTATGCATTTATGATGAAGCTCTAAAAGTTTGCCTAAGATCATATATTCAGCTAAACTCCACAGGAGAGCATTATCCTCTGCTACCCCCATCTGCTTCTATACACACCAACTACACTACTAAAGTTTGGAACAAACATGAATTATTTGTGTTTTTCAAATGTTTAATGTTTTTTAATGTTTATGCCCACCAAGGCTGCATTTATTTGATCAAAAGTACTACAAAAACAGTGATATTGTGACATTATTATACTTTCAAATAAATTCTATTTCTATTTGAATGTATTTTTTAAAATAATTTAATCCAATGCCAAAGCCAACATTTTTAGCAGCAATTTCTCCAGTCTTCAGTGTCACATGATCCTTCAGAAATCATTTTAATATGCTGATTTGTTACTCCGTTATCATCAATTATTTTGATGCTGTTATTAATTAATAATGGTTCTTATCAATGTTAAAAACTGCTGCTTAATACAGAAGTTCTAAGAGGCCATGCATTATTTTTATTTTTTGTTTTGTGATTACGACCTAATTTTCTCATGATCTCGACACGAGTTGTTTTCTCGTGATCACGACATAACAAAAGCAGTTCTTTTAACAATGATTGCTTGATTTTTAAAATGCAATGCATCGTGAGTCTACTGTTGCTATAGTAACGAACGCAACTTTGACGGGGACATTCTAAAATGCTTAACGTGGCTTAATGCGTTAATTTGAGAGTGTTTTTAAAAGACCAAACTCAGTATACACATAATTAGTAAATCATACAATGTACATCCAAGCAAATAAGCCCATAATAAGAACGCAATGCGTTTAATTACGCATTAAGCATTTCACCGATAGAAAACAGTTATAAGGAAAACGCTTAACGTGGCTTCATGCTTTAAGAGAGTGTTTTTAAAAGACAAAACTCCGTAAACATTCTTAATAAAGCATTCTATGTATAGACAAGCAGATGAGCCCAAAATAAGAACGCAATGCATTTTAACGCATTAAGCATTTTACACATAGAAAACCATTATAGGCTAAGGAAAACGTGTTGCGTTCGCATCCTGGACTCATCCGCTTGTCTGAATTTCTGAAGGATAATTTAATGCCGAAGACTGTGCTATCATTCATTCAGCTATGCCATCAAAGGAATAAATTAAATTTTTTTTTTTTTGTTCACAATAAATTTATTTACAATAAATTGCAATAAATGCTGGCCTTGGTGAGACTTCTTTCAAAAACATTACAGAATCTTAATAATTCCAAACTATTATTACAAACAATTATACATCAGTGTTTGAACTAGGGGTGGAACGGTTCGCGGAAAAAAATCGAACCGTACGGTTCTCCACGCGCTAGGACCGCGGTTCAACTTAAATCTGACAACGAATCTGTAATATGGTTTGCTATAAATAACACGTCAAACAGGTTTCGGCTAATATATGATTGTATGTACATCAAATTTTCACAAAGTCATTGAAGCTTTTATCACAGTATATGGTTTTATCACAATATATAATTTAGTGAGAAAAAAAACTGTTAAAAATGAGTGCTGGACAACAATTAATCGCATCCAAAATAAAAGTTTTTGTTTACATAATATATGCTATATACTGTATTTATTAGGGGTGGAACGGATCGAGGAAAAACAATCGAACCCTACGGTTCTCCACACACGGTGCAGCACGCGCTAGGACCGCGGTTCAACTTAAATCTGACAACGCATCTGTAATATGGTTTGCTATAAATAACACGTAAAACAAACAGGGTTCGGCTAATGTAGCCTATGTTTCTGTTGATGGATGCGCATTCTGGCTTCCCCAATACATTACAACAACAGTGATGAAAAAAAAAACGTATGCGACTGCTGTATGCTGGAATATGAGCATTTATTCTGTCATCACCCGGGTGCTGATAGCGCGCACGCACAGGTGAAACCTGGACAGCACACATTGATCTGTGTTTAAGCTAAACTCGTTTAAGCTTTGCCAGTTTAAACATTTAAGAGCCAGAAGACGCGAGCTCGCGCAAGCAGTGAGAAGATTTGCGCGTGCGCTCATCCAAAACGCGCAAACCCGCGCAAATATTAAGCTTTCTCTGAAGTATTGTGTTTAAATGGACAAATTCACACAAAAATTTTGTCAAAATGCCCGTCTTGGTAAGTATCCTATAGCAGACATAGCCGGCTGAACGTACTGTGTCAGTGCATTCTCTTAAAGTGACAGCACTTTCTTAATATTAATCAAACAGCAACAACAAAGAAATCACTCACTGCTATTGATTGAATAGCTTTTGAAACTTTAATAAAGATTAATCTTTAGTTTATACAGTCAAATATGCAATGCTGTTTTACATTTCATTACTTTATTCAATTTCTGTACCTAAAAACTAATGTTAGACCTACCTAAAAAAAACTGAAAATCACTGTTTATTTTATTTGTGCTGTTGCTTGTAGTTAGATAGATTATTCTTATTTTCTTTATTTTTATTTGACAGTATAACAAACCGAACCATGAGTAAGTTGAACCGTTCCACCCCTAGTTTGAACTATAATTTAATTTCGCATTTCAATCTAAAAGCAATCAAATAAATAAGATAAAGCCCTGGGTTTCGTGTATAGTGTCGTATGTGAGCCGCTCTATGGCATATGGCTGTCACAGCAGTGTTTCGACACAGCGGGAGCAGAAGGCTGTGCCAAAGCTGATCAGGCCAACCAGTTTTCAGGTGTAAACAATGCCACAGGGCGTGGACTCTGAAAGTTTTACAAGTTGAAAAGTCAACATGGAGCCCAGGTAAGAAGGCATACTGGCTGCCGGCCAAGCCTGCATTCAAAACATGACTATGATGAGGAGAAGCTTCCTTAAGCCTTTTATTACTGGCTGCAATTGACTCCTCAGCAAACAAATGAGGAAAACCGTCCAATGGTTACGCCTCACGGGGGCTGAACCGAGAAGAGCGGCATTTGTGCAGAGCAAACGTGTGAGCGTTTGTGGTCAGAGAAAGGATTTATAATCTCCCTCAGAGTCGAGAACGACAAAACGACGTGCGTATGTCTCTTTGAACACTATTGTTTAATCTAACCTTTTGCAAGTCTTATCTATCGCTGCGGATGCGTATTTTCCCTGCGCTACAAAAACAGATGTGTTATTACTGTTTTCTTTTCAGGCATCTGTGGGGATAGCCTATGCAAATGCAAAACACACATTAACACTCCCTCTAATGTGACATGATCTCTCTCGCAGCACCGCTTGATGTCACTACGATGGCTTAGTTTCAAGATAACATCATCTTTGCACTCTGCCCTGCAACTGACAGGAGATATGATCATGAAGTAGAATGTAACAATGTATGTAATGAATGCAAAGACACATATTTGTTGGTGGTGGATGTGTGTGTGCAGGACTATATCGGTCCTAATAGCTTTAAGGGCAGGACTCACCTTCTCCAGCTGTTGTCAGGGGGAGGAGAAAGGTACATCGTTCCATATGGAGAGCTCTCAGCGTAGTTCAGTCAAGGAAATCCTCCAAAGCTCTGTTCTGCTCATTATTTTTGGGGAAACTGGATTCTTGAATGAATGAAGGTTCAAAATTACAGCATTCATTTGAAATAGAAAGCTTTTGTAACATTGCATATTCTTGATAGTTAAAACTAGTTCTTTCAAAGAAAAAAAAATTTGATCCCAAACTTTTGAATGGTAGTGTATAAATGCAACTCAATTAATCAATTATGCTGGAAAACAACGGTCATCTCATAAATTCGAAACATTATCTTTGCGACAAATGAAGAGGAATTTTTAATCCGTCTCTGGAAGACCGAGTTATCACATTTTGTTTTCTGACTTTAATATTAAATCTATCACACTTTCTTCTTGTTACCTTACTGTGACTAGTGGACAATGTTTCAAGCAGCCCAGGCAGGCACAACCGATTTCAAGCTGTATTTTGTAGGTTAGTTTCAATAGATTTTCTCAGACTGAAGAAGGGTGGAGATCGTGATTTCATATTACACAAACTTTTGATCTCACTTGATTTGTCTTGATATGGCCCTTTTAAAATCTCACTTGTGCTGTCCAAATCCACTCAACACTCTCAGAAAAGTTACAGGAATTATAGGAGCGAAAACAGTCCAGCTGAAGAACTCCTTGAGTAAACATTGTTTCCTTAACTCAGACCGATGTTGACAATGCTGCCTCGTCATGTCCCTCTGTGCCAAGACTCTCACATCCAAATGGGAGGAGGGGTGGATTTACAAGACAGAAAGCAGGACAGAGTCTTTCGCTGTACAACATCTGCTCAGGCCTGGAAAACCTAGTCATCAGTTCTGCTGCAGTAATGAGAGACTGAGCTCTTCATGCCAACCTTTCAACCACCAGCCCGCCCCGTGACCCTCACCATGACACAACATAGAATAACCAACCAATGAGCAGCCAAATCCAGGCCACAGAAAAACCATCTTAGGCCTCCTTGTTCAAACACACTGTACGCATTGATAACCGCCATCATATGTATGAAATCCCTGGCGTGACATTGTGTGAATACTGTTGTTGATACGCGGACTGGGAGGGGGAAAGCGATGATGACATAAGCCAGACGGCTTGTATTACGAGGGATCCTTCCTAAAATCTAATTAGCCCGTGGCCGCTGAAGCGGTGTGGAGAGACAGGGTGGCTGTGACAGCACCTTCGTCTCAGAAGCTGCAGGATGGCGTGGGTGAGCTAACCTTTCTCTCTGACATTTCACACTCAACCCACACCGCTCGTCCTCCAATTGGACATCATTCCAGAAACACTCCAGAGACAAAGCAAGATCATGGCATCTGGCGTGATATATGCGGCTCGAAAGCAACTACATGTGTTAGGAGGAAGTTGGCTAGCGTTCGGTTGGCTAGCGAGCCTGTGAGAGAGTCTAATCTTGGCAGACGTGGATGAATCGATGAGAGCAAAACAAGCCAACACTGTGAGGGACATCTGGCACTAAAGGGGGGGGGAGGGAATCAGAGTGAAAGCAAATTTGGGCTTTGAATCCTTCCTCATATTCTCTCACTCAGCAGAATTAGAGTGGCATGAAAATGAAATGCTTTAGTGGGCGAATGTTTATTTAGAGAGTCTCAGTTCATTTAGATTAAATGTAGATTGTAGTTTGGAGTTTAAGAAGTTTTTTTTAAGAAAATGTAAGTGGCATATAGCTAAAAAAAAACTTGTCATCATAATGTTAGTGGTGATGTACGTGGTTTTCATGGCATTGCCATGTGGTTGCGAAGGTGTTCTGAGTGCTTTTTAGCACATCACTGTGGGGTATGAACACACTGCAGCCAGTGTTATGTTAGTACTATTTATATACTACTGTAGTATTTATTAATATTATGAAGTAGCATTTATTTTTAGATTTTCAGTTTTAATTTCACATTTCAGATTAAGCTTTTGCTATTTTATGTGCTTTTGTCAAATTTCATCTTTTTTTTTATTCACATATTTTGACTCGAGTTGGTATCTCTGTACTGTAGTTGTTTTTAGAGGCCCTGCAGTCTATGGGCACCACATATACAGTATTAAGGGTCACAGAGACAGTGTTGCCAGATCAGGCTGGGTCCAACAAAATAAGCTCAAAATAAGCTATTTTCATCACAGAAATAAGCCTAAATAAGGCCAAAACTCTATATAATCCCAACCCATGACTGCTCATATTTATATATATAAAAAAAAAACAATCCCAAATATACTAATAAGTGGACATGCCAACACTGCCAAAAACAGCTCACCGTTTTAAAGCAGATGCTTAAACAAGAAGCAATAAAATGGTGGTTTACTTAGAGGGGTCATGAAATAGAAAATAAAACTGTCCTTGATTTTACATGTATGAGTGGTTACGCTACAATAATACTCTACAATAAATCAAATCAGGGAGATTTTTTAACAATGTGCCTGAGCATCTGAATGAGAACGTTTTCGTTTGTTTGTCTCATTTCTTAATTACTCTCAACATGTTGCCAGTTTGTCTAAATATTAATTAATTATAGACATCCAACAAGTAGTTAAAATAATAGTTTTAGATCTATAAAACAAAAAATAGCAAGTGCAAGCAATCACCATGCTGAAGCTGACCGCTGCAATCGTTGTAGTTGCACAGATTCATTTTCTTCTGCTTCTGAATCTTACTCGGGCTTAAACATATACAGCTGCATTACAGGCCATATCAAGCATTAAAATGGTGTGATTAAGTTCACCAATCACAGCAGTGACCATTTACTTGCATTTCTGAAAGAGGTAACATCCTTGAAGGGTGTTTTTGACAGAAAGTGAAAATGATGATGGAAATTTTTTTTTACACAAATAGTTTACAAATAACTTTTTAGGTGCCAACATTTTTGCTAACTTGATATGCTAACCTCCAGAAACATAATATAAAGTCTGAAAATGCATTTCAGGGCCTCTTTAAATTTACCAGAAATTATGACTCTTCAAGTCACTAATATAACGTCGGTCATGCATATTGGTTAAACATTATGCAAATATTTGTTTGCATTCTTGTTTATCACTCATGGATGCCTAAACATTATTATGATTACCACTCATCAAAATGTCAGAAGTGACTCTGTAGGCACCGAACAAACAATAAGTTACAGGATTCACTCATTAGACTTTGCAGTGTATATGTGCCAACAGTGTTCTGAGTGGTACCTGATAAAAAAATAAGTGTGATCGCTTAGAAAAGTAACAGCAAGCTTCTCAACAAGCAGTGTGACTGAAAGAGCAGGTCATATGGTATTTTAAAGTGTCCTAATATTGTGTTGGAGTCCCCTACAACAGGTTTAAATGCATCTAAGGTCAGAAAACATTGTAATTTTCTCAGAATATACATTTAATATTAGAGTCATTTGCCAATGATTTCGAAACGATTCGTTCCAAGCAAGTTCGGAGCAAACCCCTCCCTTCCATAAGCCTGCTCTGCTCTGATTGGTCAGCGAGGAGTCCTTGAGCAAGTTAGCGAGCGCTACCATTGACAAAGCACCTTTACATAGAACAATAATATAGTGCTCCAATCCGTTCTTATAATAATGACATAAAATACAAAAACATTTATGCAAGCGAATCGTGCCCACAGCTTAAGTTTAGCTGCTAAACTGGGTTATTCAATTGGCGGCCCACGAGCCCAATCCGGCCCGCCAATCATCTTTATCCAGCCCGAGGGAAGAGTACACGCAGGTCGCACATACGCCTTGAATTGTTTTTGCACTAATTAGTTTGTCCACAAGGTGACATCACTGGCCCGTTGACAAGCGCTTGTGTGAGGGGGTTATGAGATATCCACAACTCTAGTTTAAACGAGTATAAAGACAGTGTTATCGCCTCGGTCATAACTTCTGGCGAGAAATAGCGCAGACACTGAACGAAGATGATTATCAGATGGAGTACAGTTTGAAAGGCTGCGCGTTCGGCTGTACGCACACACGCCGAGACGCTTCAGACAGCGCGCCAGTAGCTCTTCAACTGACAAAAACAGAAAATTATGCCAAAACTATAAAATACAATTTATAGTTTATGTGAAGATTGTTTTAAGTTCACTTAAATTAAAAGTTATATTTTTCAGAGCCTACTATATATTAAAAATAATGTCTTTCAATTATACTGTAATATTGCATGGCTATAATTAATGGCTAAAATTGAGGTGAAAATTTAATTAATCGAGACATCAGTAGCAGTATTGGTATCAAAAATACTGGCCTTTGTTAATAATAGGCTACTTAGTAAAGAGATGCCATTAAACTAGGGCTGAGAAAGGAATGCATTCCTGTAGCTCAAACAGTAAAGCATGGCGTTAGCAATGCCAAGGTCATAGGTTTGATTTCCAGTGAATGGATGAACTGGTAAAATGTAGAGCATGAATGCAATATAAGTTGCTTTGGTAAAAGCAGCTGCCAAAATGTAAATGTAAAAATCATTGTTAAAAAAAACGTGCAAGAAAAGTTAGAGTTTACAAAGTTAAACATTCGGGGGTTTGTTTAAATCCCTAATTTTCAGTATGAGAAACAGAGATGCACCACAAACAAGTCCCTGAAGAACGAGTTAGAATGGAACTTTATCAATCTGGACTCTCTGCTGCATCAGATTAATGAGTGTTAGTAAGCCTTCTTATTGACAGGGATGAGACACATGTTGAATTCTCAAACTGAAAGCAACAACAAAAACCTGAAAGCTTTGAGCCTAGAGCAAAGAGATTTGAAGACAATAACAAAATACTAATTAAAATAATTTTCCGTTTCAGAGACAAATAAAAACAAGTGTTTAGCAATTAATGTGAACAATCAAAAATTAATCAATATAAACAGACAACGAGATGAAGAAAAAAAAAATCATCAGAGACTCTGAAGGAACCCGCGAGAATAAGCCTGAATATCTTCAGCTCTTGGGGAGGGAGTGGTTCAATTCACAGAGCACAGAGTCGACAGAGTTCTGACAAACAGGTCTTGCAGTTTTTAGCATGACTGCGGTCACAAATGCCTTTTCCCGCTCAAAGAACAAGGGCGGCCGTGGCAAACCGTGTGGAATTACTTTGAACCCATCATTGAAAGCTCTTACGTAACTCAACTCTGTCACTTTTTTTTCTTCTGTCTCCCTCACGCTGCCTTTGTTGTCTCTCCATATGGCACGGCATCAGAGCAAGTGGACCATTCCCAAACAATCCCAATATTAAGGACTACGGAGTAGCTCCTTACTCTGGTACTAGATAATTCAAAACCTCTGTGTTGCTTCAAAACTAGATCAGTGGACGACAGTTCGTGCATTCCACATCTTCAAAACAGTGTGGTAACTCACAAGGCATTAAGGCCTTTTTATTTTTATTTAATCTTTAGCACTAAGCTAAATCTGCAGACCGAAATGATCTTTGAGCCCACAGACGATTAAGCTTACAGACAACCGCTGAAAAATTGATGAAAGAAATCCATCAACTACACAACCGAGGAGGATAAAAGACCGGCCGGGCCGGCGTAGCCAGTGACTTCATCAACCTGCAGGCTGAATGACTGCAGAACTAGCGGCAGAATGCGCAATACGATCGGCGGCGAGGTTTGTTAATCACCCACTAATGAGGACACCAGAGTACTGATATTCAAATCTCTAAACGGTTCTCACTGAAAGAAAAAAAACCCCAAACATGAGCGGGGAGAAAACAGCAGGTTATTGCAGTTACCCACTCATTCACACCCACAGTGCAGCAGTGGGAATATCAATACATAAAGGATCATCACACAGCCTGAAGCCTCAAAAAAAGTTGCCCACATGAGCAAAGGTCAACATGTATGACACATGCAACATTGCGAGCTCATAATAATGATGCGTCTACTAGTGTAAGCGTAAGTAAAGACCCTCACAGATCACTCTTTTCCAGTACAAAGGCTTTATGCTAGTGAACTTAAAGGATATCTGCCGCCCGTGCTTGTCAATGGGCCTGCGGTGTGGTGAGTTGATCCGATTGCGGTCTCGATGTACCCTTTCCACCAGACCATGGTGTCTGGTCCCTCGCACAGAGTCCAGTCCGGAGGGAAAAGTCCCCTGTGGAAAAACACCTTCTTGGTTAACACTTTCCTCACAAATGTAAAAATCTGTCATAAATGACTTAAATAGTAAAAAGACATCAGAGCCTCCATATTTCAGGACATGCAGAATAAACAAACAAAATACACACATAAATTTAAAAGTGCCACCATTAGCTTGTGTCCCCAGGTGAATTCATTCTACTCCAAAGTGCTTCTACCTTTCTAGGTTTGGTTTCTGTCATGGCAGACAAAAAGTAGGGATCACTGCTTGATGTCTTAAAGAAGCTTTATTCACAGCAACAAGAGCACTTTCATCTGAAGGTATACAACACTCCTCTCCATAGGGGATAGACACAGATACAGTTCTTTGGCTCTTGGATCGCACCGCTGTATCAAGTGTACTTGTGGAGAAAGTAGTGTACTGAAGGAGTAGGCAAAGGGAGGGCAGACTAAGAGATGGGGACAAATACATTCTTTGTTTTTTAAGGAGAAGGTTTGCAATTACCATCTCTTGACATCGTTTATCTGAGGGTAGAAAAGCAGAGCATATGGCTGGGGCTTATCTTCTCCTAAATGAACATGAATTGCTGGACAGATTTAGTAGACTTAGATAAGTGGATGGAGGGGAACTCAGGTACCTGGAAATCAGTGCTGGCATTGCCTATTTGGTTGACGTTGGGCAGCGAGCCACCATAGTACTGTGCCCGGTTCTGTGACAGACGGAGCTGCTGGATCTTCTGGAACTGCACCTTTAATCAAGAGGAAGACACAGTGAATGCATTTGAAAAAGAAAGAAGAGTGAGAGTCTGCCGAGGCATTTTAGAATGTATGTATTTAACTGAGGTGGAAATTCTTGGAAATGAGTTTGGTTTTAAGTGTACCTCTGAGCTCAAGCTGGAGGACAGTGTGGATTTTGTTGTGCGGCAAGGGTAAACAATGAAAATTATCAATTCTGATCAGGCACAAGCAAATCAGGAGGCGTTCCTTCCTCTTACTAACCAAAGGACAAAATTTGAATCTCAAAGACTGACCTCATTTAGTGATATCAATGGGTTACTACACATAAGCTCAAGTCTGTTTTTTAATCCAAAACACAGACATTTTTTTAAGCCAGAGAACAAAACCTTAATTACACACTGCTTAGATATAGGGCTGTATAATATGACAAAAAAATCTGAATTAATCTGCATAATCTGAATTATATTGTAGTTGTTTTGACAGATTTTGAAACTGCCATTTGAATTGCAATTCAATAAATATATGCAATTCATATTCGCGCGATTTTTTGCGCAGCTCGTCAGTGAACAACGGCTCTGTGTAGTAAATGCTGCTCAATGTGAAAGCCCGCAAATGATGGAGATTTACCGCTGATTACAGAACCGGCTTTCTGACAAGATGCGCATTAAATATCGCATGCGATTTATCGTGCAGCCCTATTTAAAACTACAAAAAAAACTACAAACTCAGAAGCAATGTCTCCAAATTGTGTTATATTTTGCCCACACTATGCTGCTAACAAATAGAGCTGCTCTTTAAAGTTGTAATGAAATGGAATGAGTGAAAGATCTTTTGTACAATGAAATGGATCATTGATAAAATATAATATTTCATTATATTATTTTCATTATATTTTGACATTTCTATTCATTGGTTCTTGATTGGATGGAGGCAGATCTGAATGCCAACTTGAAATTAACTGTAAGAAAGGGGCAGGGATTAAGTGGACTAAATTATTGGAGAAGTACTGCATACATCATTAGAGAGAAGTCTGTCTTTTCACTGGAAGATTACGTTTTTTGAGATCAGGTCAAAAAGATATGCAAAAATGATATGCATGGATGAATTGTTCACAATTAGATAAACTAAGCTCGGGACACACCAAGCCGATGGTCGTCCGTCAGTCAACGTCGGGCCATCGGTGAGCGTCTGTTAGTTTGTTTGATGTGTTCCACACGTCTGCTCTCATCGGACTCATGTTGGCAGTAGTTTGCCCGAATCGGCATCGGGGTCATCGGAGCAAGTGAAAACTCAGATTGGTTGTTCAGTTTAGTGAACGAGTCCATGCAAGAGAATTAAAGCAAAAGTTATGAAAACTAGTAAGTAAATGAAGGCAGCACAGACAGAAGGCTGTTCTAATGTTACGTGGTCTTACCCAAGCATTCCAATATGCGAATGTTTTCATAACATGAGCTGCTTAAAATTATACAAGTTATCAATGTTACTGTCACTGATATTCAAAATGGTAAGCAAGCGCTGCTTTGTTTATGTTACGTCATTTCCTTTTGAATGACGAATATTTACTATTGATAGCTGCTGATATAGACAGCTAATTCCTCTCACGCAGGCGGAGAACGCACGTGTTAGGGTGCTTTCACACTAGCCCCTTTGGTGCGCACCCGGGTTCGATTGACGTCAGAGTTCGGTACGTTTGGATGATGTGAACGCTGTCTTCCGAACTCGGGTGCGCACCAACGAACCGTACCCGAGTCCGCTTAAAAAGGGTGGTCTGGGGTACGGTTCAAGTGAACTCCGGTACGGTTCGCTGCTGATGTGAACGCAATCGTACCAAATCACGGAAGTGAACCGCTATTAATGACGTATTATTTGATAAAAATGTGTGTTTATGTGTGTTTCACTCACTTTCCTGTCAAGCGTGACTGACACGCTGCAAGCAGAGAGTTGTATATCTCATTTCTATTCGCCTTCAGAGTTCTCTAGGGCATTTGCAGTAAGGCAGACGTAAGTGCCGTTAAGTACTGAAGCTTTGGAAACAAAACCAACGGTTCAAAAACATAAATATAAAATTGAAGAGAGCCTTGCTACGCATTTTGCCGTCTTCTCCTGCGCCATCGTTACTAAGCAACGGGGTAAACAGCTGCTGGCTTGACGACGCAAACGAACCGCGGTTCGGACCCAAATAATATAATGTGAACACAGTCCAGCGGGGGCAGGGGAAGTGGGGAGCAATCGAACTCGGGTTCGGACCAAGCAATCGAACCAAGTGTGAAAGCACCCCTAGTTTGCAGTCAGCTGTAGTCTGGCTGTAGCGGTGAGTTCAAGTGCAGCTTTTTGGTCCAGATGTCGTCAGCTTTCATCGCTGCTAGTTCTTTGACGTTGGCTTGGTGTGTCCCGGCCTTAAAGGGGTCATATGATGCGATTTACATTTTTCCTTTCTCTTTGGAGTGTTACAAGCTCTTGGTGCATAAAGAAGATTTGTAAAGTTGCAAAGACTAAAGTCTCAAATCCAAAGAGATATTCTTTATAAAGAGTCAACCACACCACAACCACTACCTAAAACGGCTCGTTCTAACACGCCCCCACATACCTACGTCACGATCTGGGAAGATTTGCATAACGCCGCCCAAAGGTTCATACAATGCCGGCTGCTCACAGACTGTAAGTATGTTTTTTTATATTTAAAGGATTTGCCACTGACGATTCAAACGCGAGTGTGTAGAGTAGCGCTTGTTGTTTGTCATTTCTCCGATCACAAATGCAGACATGGTTTTATGTTTACGCGGCGCGAAAAAGACAGTATAAGTCATTATAATTCGTAATTATGTCCCACTGGATGCTACAAATGCCTCGTTTATAATGGGTTTTAATGTTTTTGTCTCGTCGCTCCGGCTGGGACAAGGCATCACAATATGGTAAGGGGCATAACATTTCCGTCACACGCTTGAGGAATTCGGCCAATCACAACGCACTGGATAGCTGGCCAATCAGAGCACACCTCACTTTTCAGACCGATGAGCTTTGTAAAAATCGACGCGTTTCAGAAAGGCGGGGCATAGAGGAGAAACAATAATGTACAGTATGTGGAAAATAATGTGTTTTTTTAACCTTAAACCGCATAAACACATTTCATTACACCAAATACACAAAATAATGTTCTTTTTAGCAACATCATATGACCCCTTTAACATGCTCACTCAGTGACCCAAAGCAAAAACAAAAAGAACTCCGTTCTCTTCCCATTCACACTGTACCTGAACTTGAGAGTGGAATTTTGGTTCTTTTGGTTGTAAAAGGGTCTCAGTCTTCACTCACAATTAAGTCTAATGCAGTCAAGATGGAAATTAATGTAATTGCGCTTATTCCACTTAAACTGTCAAAAACACAGTCTATGAAGTCTTAAGTGAATTTAAGTGAACAGTTGGGAGAAAATCAGATGTGTTTCATTACATTAGATCTTAAAATGACAGCAGATTAATGAACCTACTGCTGTCTGACTACAGTCATGTTAATTAGCTAAATAAAGAGAAAATCATCACTGCTCTTGGCTGAAGAACTTTTGTAGCTTTAATAAAAATTAATACTTAGCTAGGCCTATTTCATACAGTTAAGACATTTGGTTATTTTATTTCTTACTTGAATGCTGCCGTTAAATATGCCTACTGTATCTGAACATTTTAATTTATTATACTTTCTTGTATTGTATTTGTCCTATTAATTGTTTAAAAAATAGCCAATAAGCTTTAGTTACCATGAACCATAATTTTCTACCTGCTAGTCGGTGACAGGAAGTATTAGAAGGAGCATTTGATTGGACAAAAATCTGTGAAGAGCATGATGCGTCAATGTTTTTGGTCCATTTTCTTGATGCTTTAAAAAGCCAACTTTATTTCAATGAACAGCGCAGTCCTATTTAGATGTGAGAAACACATCCATATATCATGCTTTGGCCATACTGGCCTCTACTTACATAACCCAGCCCTCTACGAACACCTTGGCAATTGAATCGCCATTGGCTAGTACATTTTTTAGTTTACTCGCCAGACTGATATATATATA